TGAGAAAATATTTAAATGATCATTAGCCAATTTCAAATTAAGAAATTAGATTTTTCTAATAAAAAAGGAAAATCTGGAATAGTTTTCCAATTGTTGGGGGGAAACATGTCCTGAACAACTCCACAAACACAGGTTTTATGCACCCTGCCCCTATCCCAGACCAAAGAGATAGAAAACAGCAAAGACTACAAATCCCATAGTGTCTTCAGCACCAAAGGGAGAGCTGCTGGGAACTAAGTGGACTTAAGCAACCAGGTCTGGTAGATAACCAGACACGTGGGCCTGGGAAGGGGATCCTTGGTATTTCACCAGTTTTCAGTGTCCTTGTGGGTTTCCAGCTCAGAGGAACTGGCTGGACCCATTCACCAATTTATCTCTCTCTCTTTCTCCCTGAGTTACTCATATTCATTTCCACATTTTTGTAAATAAGACCTTTATTAACCTTTTTGTGTGTGTCTGCAGTTGAGTATTATTATAACTCTCTTTAAGCGCATGCGTGAAGACCCACAATCAGGTCAACCCATTTCCCATTGGGCCCTGTCACACAAGAATTTAATATTTTGTTTTTGAATTTTCCCAAACACACACACAGATCTTTGTTACAACATATGGGTACACGGTAAGATGCACAAATGCACAGACAGGCAATGACAACTGGGCTGTTAACACAGACCTGCCACTTCACTCATCACCTGATATGTTAATAAAAGTTAACATAAAACTGATCTAATGCAATCCTTATTCTTTTGTGTTCTGACAAAACCATCTATTGCGAGGTTTGTATCAAAGAACTTTCCATCAATTTACTTAATAATCTTACGAAATGCTAAAAATCCATCCAATTTTTTCTTTAATGCACTGGATATGAGGTGGACAATTCTAATTTATTTAGCAATTATATATTGCTGACAAGAGACTGATAACAATAACTATCCTGTTTTATACAAAATAATCCATATGTCAGGCTTCCCTGGTGGTGCAGGGTTTAAACTCTCAGCCCTATTAAGATATTGCCAGCCAGTGTGGCATCAATAGTATCCCTGGCCAGGGAGGTGACCACATGTCACAGCAGACCTCTCTGTCTCGCCCTCAAGCAATATATTTTCAGATCTGTCTGTTCTGCTCCCTATTCTGTCTCAGGTGAGTGAATCTGTTCACCCCTGCACCTCTGGCCTGTACCCCAGTTTTTGTATGCACAAAGAAATAAAACAAATCTTTAAAAATATATATCCATATGCTTTCTGAAAATACCAATTCTTCTTAATGGAATGAAATCAGGGAAGAAAGCTGAGCAGGAGATCCAAAAATTAAATTAGGCCTTTGTTGTCAATCATATTTCCTCAGGAAAATGGACATATCAGCTAACTGTGCATAAGGCACTGTGTAGGTTATATTCAGGATTAACATACCTGTCCCACCCTTGGGTATTTCATTGCCACTTATGTGGCAGAGACAGTTATAATACAGGAGTGAGCTAAAGGTAGGATCATTAGCACCAATTAAGTGAATTCTTCTATGCCCTTGGTGCCATGCCAAATTTTTGTCAATCTAAGTCTCACACCAACTCCAAACACATTCTCTTTTTTACAGAAGTGGAAGGGTAAGAGGCCTGATCAATATCACACCATCAGTAACTGGGAAAACCTGTACTCCAAAGTGCTGCCTTACCCTAGGAGCATCTGTGATAGGTGCCATAAAAAAAGGTGTGAGACTGAACTTCAAGCACATCAAAATTGTAACAAAAGAATCATTCCCAACCAAAACAAAGTCATTTGGATGTTATCCATTAGTCTCACATATGGGACAAAACAGTGACTAAAAATGTACAGCAGACTGGATATTCAAAAAAAAAATGTTATGAGAATAAACTATGTAGATTTAATTCCAGGGAAGCCAAGTCTTAATGTACTGAGCATCTATCTCTAACTTAGGCAAGAAGAACAGAGATGGCAAAGAGGAGGCAGAGAAGTGGAAAAGTAGAGATGGAAGGGGTGAAATCCTGACGTGTCCAAATAGCTACTCATGATTTTGCAAAAACCCTGACTCCCCACGAACTATTCCATGGCTTCAATTTCCCTACTATTCAATTTCACTTACTATTTCTTAAATTAGAGGCTGCAAAACAGCTGTCCTAGGTTTTAGGTTTTGTGGGTCTGCATATCATTTTCAAAATCATTATCTGAAAACACTTAAGGAAAGCTTTCCATTTTTAATTCCATTGCCTTCCTATGAATTTATAACTGGTTCACTGGGAGTTTTAAGCCAGTGCTCTATAGTACCTGAGCTTATCAATTCTGCTTTCAAGCTTCTCAAAGGAAAATTCAAACAAAATGATTTCCCCAATACACTGATAAATGCATATGTGATCTACACCTACTGACTAAGAATCAAATTGAACAATTTTATCCAGATACCACATAATCTAGGGTCCATCCACACCTGAGGTGTATGCTAATTCCACCACTTGGAATTCAGTCACCCTGCTCATGGCTCATCCTATTTCGTGCCAGAAACCTACTAGGAGTACAAAGAGCTTGCAGCTATTCTCAATAAATAAAGACCAAGAGGCCAGCAGGGTAACATACAAAATGTTATCATTTCTAGAAACCGCAACTGAATACACTAGTAGAGGTGAATGAATGAGTAGGATAATTCAAACTGTTTACTACAAAACAGGGGAGGTCCATTATTCTACTTAACGCTGACTGAGAAAAAAACCAGGAGCCTCCACTAGGACCTGAAACACCTCCAACAAGGAGAACTAATTCTGCTCTAAATCCACACCTTTACCCTCCCTTTCATACACAGAGTGATTCTGCCCTGCATACATTTGTGTTAGAGTTATGGTGTTTCTAATCGACTAATGGACTATTCAATTCAGTCATAACTAAAGTTTCCCTAAAAGTATATACACTAGTACTAATAGTGTTTGATATTTTAAGTTAAGAGGAAAAATGATCCTTCACTAGGCCTGCTTGACACCATTCCAACACGCCCAACTTTGTGCATGAAAAACTGAGAACAGCTGTGTCACTGAACATATTAAAAGGCAAGGAAATGTAGAAACTAGAGGTTTATCACTTTAAATTTCATTTTGAGCATTGCTGCATGAATTTGAAATAAATGAAATCATGCTTGATGGATTATTTTCAAATTAATACTGGAACCAGGGTGAGCACATGCTATTTTTTCATTTACAACTTTCTGATGTAGAATTAATTCACTTAGTGTCTAATAACTCACCATAATGCAAAAAGGAAAACAAATAGATTAAAAAGCAGTATTTTATTATTCTATATTTAAGTCTTTAGAGAAAAAGAAAACACAAATTGGTGCCATCTGTAGTATTGTGTTCTGTGTTGGCACCCACATTTGAAAAGGGAGAGAGAAACTATGAGATTGAGAAGCGTTTGCCAGGAGGACAGAAGGCAGCATGCTGTGCGCAGCTGAAGGATTCTAGGATGCTTAAGACAGTTAATAGGCAAACCTGTCCCAGTGTCTCCAAGGGTTTAACCTACAACCCAGGAGTCCTTTCTCATTTACGGGCCATTCTTGATTGTCATTGCTTTTTAACTGTTTGCTGTGGGAATGCACGCCCTTCTTGTTCTTGGGGCTATTGTTTTGGTAACCAGACTTCTTGCTGGTCAGTTCTTTGACTAGCACCATTCAGCAGGACAAAAGTCCTGGTATGAGGAACATACTGGGAGACCAGCAGCTGCTGAAAACAGCTGGCAGATATTACAATATGCTTTGACTAGCAGTAACAATGGCCCTGGTCCCTCCACCCTAGCTTACATCCCTGGTAACACGTCCCCTATGCCATGTGCACTCCCTAGGTACTCGACCTACCTTTGCACCTTTGCACTTGATTCTTTTTTTTTTTAAGATTTATTTATTTATTCATACAGAACTGGGGTACAAGTACAAGCCAGAGGTTCAGGGGTGGCGAGAGGCTTCACCAGAAACAGAGTGGGGAAGCAGAACAGGCAGATTAACATAATACACTGCTGAGGGGAGCAGTGGGTGGGTCAGAAGAGGTCTGCCACACCATGCGGATCACCTCCAGGGCTGGGGATCGTACTCTCACTGAAGCGGTTGTCGCTAGCTTGCAGTGCTGTGTCCTAACCCACTGTGTCACCAGGCAGGGCCCTATACTTGATTCTAATAAATATGAGATGCCTTTGAGACGAGGGCTGCACATTACTTCCCAGTATAGCCCCTCTAGGCTTCTCATTGCTCTTAAGCCTCTTGGACTCTGAGTAATCATTCCCTTGCCCAGAGCTGCTGCCAATGCTGTCACTCTGCAAAGCAGCATCTCCATCAGCTCCAAGCCCTGTCTCACTTACCTTTGCGTTTATCATACCTGTCAGACCAAGCGAAAGCAAGCAGAATGGCATACTGCTTTATCAGTGAACAGTTAGGTAAAAAAAAAATCTGCAATCTAGTGTCATCCAACAATTAGATTTCATCACCATATAGACTTTGACTCAATATGAGTGAACATTTTCTAACAAAACTATTCTATAATGGCTGCTGAGGTGTTTGAGTGATGTTAAGATCACAGAAAAGCAGTGGTGTGTGTAGTAAACAAGAATCAAATTCTTGGATCTGGAATTAGACCTGAAGATATTTAAAATGTTTGCTCACCCTGAGGCTCTATGATTCCGCATAGAACTTTCCCATAATTGGGTCACAATTTAAAGTAATGTCTTTAGTGTGACTGCAGTGAAAGATAATATGGTCTCTACTATAACTACTTTATGTTTTATATTTAATATGCTTTCATTCAATATGTGTGCCAGGAGGGTGACTTAATAGAACCAAAATGGCATTCCTTACTAAAAAAAGTGTTTAATACTTTAGCTATAATCGACGGGAATAAAGCAAACCATAGGGAATTAATCACGTTTGTTCACCCTCATGCCACCCAATTAATCACAGAAAGTGATCTTCTTGAAAACAATGTCTGCTTTTAATCAGAGGGTGGTTAAGCTACTTACCACGAAAGAATAATAAATCTTGAATCCAGGTTTAGCCACAAAGTAGTCATCAGATTTGAATGTGATTTTAATTTGGTTGGTTCTTGATGTTATCCTTGGAGGGACCTCCTTGTGTCCACACCAACGTCCTCGAATGACTGTACTGGTTTCTGATATATCTTCAACTTCCACAAAATCATACCTAGCATTGATATGACATACATTTTAAAATCTGGTGAATGTACATTTCAAAATTCATCCTTTCACTGAGAAACTAATACCAATGTGATTTCTCTACTCTGAAATGAAAAGGGTAACATACAGATATTTTAAAAGGAAAGCTAATTTTTGTGGGCTAGGTTTTCCAAATTTAAACTTCAATGGTCTATTCTGAGAGAACCTTAGACACATTTAGCCACAACTGTTCCCAAATCATCAAAAATCAAAAATGGCTATTTTCTGAGCACATAACTTATTACATCTACCTGGGGAAAAATTAAGAACTAATGTCATATTATAAGAGATGTAGCTCTAACTGTATGTACAAATATTTAATATATAAAGTTTTCAAATAAATAGAAAATGATCTCTATATCTACCTAGAAGACTCAGGACACTCAGTAGAGAAAATAAGTGGTAAAATACTACCAATTGCTAGCTTTTCTTTTTGGGAACTTTCTTTTGGAAGGATCCTCCCTTAAAATATGGCATTCATCATAATGGAAAGCACATGACTCTCCGGAAGGATGCAGCAAGCCAGTACTGGAAATACCTGGATTGTTTAAACCAGGGTATAGAGGAACTAAGACCAAAGTCATCTGTCAGAGAAACAGGATCCAAGCAGACAGGAAAGATCTGTTTAAATATTCTATATCACCACTTGATCCTTGAAGTAATTGCAGATTATCCACCTTATGGTCACATAGTAAGACCTCTTCAGAGACAGAGGCTTCATTTTCTAGGAAGCATGTGTTCTGTGTTTCAGACACCCAAGATCTTGGAGCATTCTACCAGTTGGGCTGAATTATGATTTATGAGCTTTTCAGTTCTGGGCTTCAGTATGTCAATTCTATAATCTACCCCTCCCCAAGTGATTTCAGATGCTAGAGACCCAACTCCAATCACAGGCAGTCAGGACCAACAACAGAAGTCTCACATCCATCATGTAGATAAATATCTTTTTCTTGTCATGGTAACCAAAATGAATAAGGAGAAATAATCCTGGCTGACTATGAGGAAAACCCAATATGGCTTTTATGGGTCTGTCTCCTGTACCTTAGAGTTCTTATTGAATTGTGCCGAATAATCTAAATAGCAGGTATACATAATGATATGGTGACTAAATGTCTTTGACAGTGCTGGATGAGGCACTATGTCCTTTGCCTCAGTTTCCTTATGAGCAAAATAAGAAAATTTGTATATATATATATATATATATATTTTTCTGGCAGGATATCTCTCGGGTGCTCTGTAAATTAATTACTTATTTTACATGGTGCTTAGAAGGTGAAAAACACTAACAAAGCATCATTATTCTAGCAATAAAATATTACAGTGTAAACATTAAGAAGGCTTGGGAACAGATGGTCGGAACTCAATCGTATTTCACTTTATATACAATATATGTAAATCATTTACTACACAAAGCATGAACAAAATTGAAACTTAATAATATAACGGATCACTTCTGTTTTTTTTTTTTTTTAATGGCACATTAGTGTAATTATCACTCTGAGTCTAAAGTCAAGGGAACACAATTTTCTTTCTTAAGGAGGGTTGTTTTGAGGTACCAGTGTGATTTATCTTCCCCGCCCCCCTTCCCCATTTCTTACCACTAGATTTGATCAAGGGTCAAAAAAAGGAAACCACCCTAAATTCCTATCCAATTTTCAAGGTCAAGATGCTGAAAGGGATCATTGACTAATAGGATAAAAGCTCTGGTTTGGTCATGGAGACTAGGCTTGACTTCCTCCTTAATGATCTTTTAATCATGGATTTTATTTTTTTCAAGCCCTCTTTTTTTTTTTCCCCCTTAGCACAGAAAATTAGTTCTCTCTTTCAAGGTTGAAAAGACAAAATCTACTCTAGTTCATTCTCTTTGTAAATATTAACTCGCTTTTCCTGCCTGCATTTGTCTCTGCTTTCTAGCATACATTACCCTCTATGGTCCTAGAAAGTAATAGTTGCTGCTATTCTTCATGGGAAAAAAGAAAAAAAAAGCAATGTAATAAAAGCTGTCAGCATAATAAACATGCAACAAAGGACAGCCAAATTTGAGGCACCCCCTCTTTATTATTCAAAGGAAAATAAACCTGCTGAAAGGATTTAGCAGTTCAGTAGTTCATTGGCTATGCAGAACAAGTACATGCAGTCAAGTACAAAAAAGAAAAAAAAAAAACCTTCCCAAGTCTTATACATACTAATTAAGTAAGTAAGATGCTGTGAGCCGACAATTCAAAGAACAACAGCCAGACTTTCCCTGATAAATAAGCTAAGAAGAGAGAAGATTATCACATATAGCTTGCATCTTCTCTTGCTGACTCAGAAATGGCAGACATGGACCCTCTGACCAAAAGACCTGGGGCTGCTTCCTCTTCCTTCTTACACTTAGCTGTGGCCTTAATATCATGCTTTGTTTCGGGGGAAAGTCAATGCACAGTCCTAGCCCTCATCATTGTTCATGTGTGGGTTATAATCACAACACTGCCTATTTCTGAAGCCCATGGCAGGTGGCCCAGAGCCACCTGGGATGCAGGTGACCCAGAGTGCTGGCGAACTGGATGCATGTACCAGCTCACCAAGGCCGAGATCCCATCCCTGGGAGTCTTGCAGCCCTGTACATCCCTGAGCAGTGACAGCCTAGGCCCTGATCCATTTTCTCCTCCAGAATGGCAAGAATGCTTTATGGAACACAGTGGGTGCATACTGGCTAGATGTGAACAGCCCAAGTGGGAAGTTGAATGGGATGTATGAAATGCATTATTTTTCTTTGGCCATGGAATTTCACCCTAAAATGGATTTTACTCTCTACTTACCTACAGATGTCATTTTCTGCTTCCTCTAATCCAAACTGATTGTCAAAGGCTAGCTGTATCCTAGTCTTCTCCTGGGAATGGAGCCGCCATGTCAGAAGCAGATTCCTGGGGTAGCTGCTTGGGAATCGGGGGCTCTGCAGGTGGCCGTTTCCTGTCACCTGGATGGTCTCGTCTCTCCGGTACAAGTCTGTGAGGTGATTGCTCTCTGTTAGTAGTCACAACTTGTAGAAATTAGTATGTTGCTCCAATTATAGGAAAGCAAAAAAAGAACAGTTTAAAACACATTACATTTCAAAGCACTCCTGGATTTTGTTTGAGAACATAACACTGGATGGTAGCCTCTTGGTTAGACCAATTCTTCTATTATCCCCCACCTTCCCAAATTCTGTGCAC